GTTTAATTATTGATGCCACCTCATCAAAATTGTACGGCTCCTCCGGTGGATCGAGCTGTAGTGGGGTCAAAAGGGCTTGCTCAGTATATTGTGTGTCTTCTTGCGATGCTAGGATAAAAGGCAGGAACCGGGCCTCCAAGTGAGACGCAAGAGCCTCCGCTTGCTCTTCATCTGAGCGACACCAACTGTCCGGTCCATTTTTAATGGGGGCTTGCCGCATGACTTGTCGCCTACAATTTCTGGTGGCTTTCCAAAGGTTGAATTTGGCGTCCTTTGCTGTGGACATGTTTTCCAACATGTCGTCAAACATCTGCGCCCGCTGACAGGCCAACTCAGATCTGAGTGTGTTTGCTGCTCTGCACCAGTTGGATTTGTCTACCGGGTGTAGAGTGCGCTGGTAGATTTTCCCCAGACGACGCTTTTGCTGCAATAAATAACGTAGCTCCAAAGTGAGCACCAAGGATCCGGCTTGGCGAGGTGCATGTCTTGGACGTGTCTTTTCGGCTTCCTTGGCTGCGCAGCGAATATTCTCATTGAAGAGTTTCAGAGCGTCATCAATATCCTGTTCCGAGTGCAATTCTAATTCAGGATGGAACTTATTGTTTAAGATCAGCTTAAATAAGTTTATGTCAACATTCCTGTTGATCAGTCTTTCGGCCTGGGGATAGCATTTTACGGTAGCATCCAGCGAGACTACCAGGGGCATGTGACCTGAGCCAAGATCGTTATGAGCGGCGATTCTCAGCTTCCATTGAGGTGTACCCTTATAAAGACAAAAGTCCAGACAGGAAGGCCTTTGTCTATTATGGTCTAGCAACCGAGTGGGACTGCCCGTGGCAATGATCTGTGTGGATGTTGCCAGACTGAGGTTGAAAAGGTCTCTACCCCTAGAATTACCTCTCGCTGAGCCCCAAGATTGGTGATGAGCGTTCCAATCGCCACAGATTAGGAATTTCCGGTCTAAGGATGGCCATATAGCAAGCAGGTCTGCCATGGACAGTTGATTGTTAGGAGGGCAGTAGATTGCGCCAAACTACATATCCCAACCCCGTGGCTACTCTTGCCCTGGCCAGTTGAATAGAGTCAGATCGAACTGGGATGGTTACAAAGTGTTCAATGTCCTCCTGAACGAAAAACATTATTGGCACGCGCGACGAGAAGGTCCAGTATTTTGGACTGCATGCTCAACATTTGTTCCTGCATTTTGACTAGTCTAACGACTGTCTCGTTCAGGGTATTGAGAGAGGCGATGAGTGCCGGCAACTCGGGGCTCTTGGCTGTGCAGTGGATGATGTGGGAATGTAGGTGGTGCGGGCTTCCTGTCTGGATGAGTGGCCGGGATCTATGAAGTGCCCTACTGTCGGCCATTCGCTTTCGCCATGGTGATTACCTCTAATCATCTGGGCATAAGTAGGACGAGAGTGGTGATGAGGAGCATTTAATGAACTGTTAGGTAGGGCGGGAGTCTTGGGTTGCCAGGGGGCCTGGCTGGAAGCAGGCTGATTTGCAGATGAGAGAGGGTTGCGAGGCTTGCGCAGGTTACGGGCTGCGTAAGCCGCGTACGCTTGACATCCCTTATAGTTTGCAGTGTGATCCTGACCGCAGTTCGCGCAGGTGGCGGGTGCGGATTCTGGAAGAAGACATTCAGAAGTTTTGTGATGCTCGGCGCACTTGACGCACACAAAAGTCTGTCTGCAATATCTTGCTGTGTGTCCGAAATTTTGGCATCTAGAGCACTGGATCCACTGTTGCTTCTTGCGGGCTTCTTCAATAGTGATCCGTTGACCATACAGGTGATTGATATTCTTGAGGTCTGTTTTGTTGCAGCCTGGGGCAATACTTATGAAGAATAAATCGATGGGATTGTCCGGTCTCTTTGTGTTGTCTGGACAATGAATATTGGTGACGTTAAACCCTAGACTACCAAGTTCATTTTTAATGGCAGAGTGCAATGTAGAATGATGCAAACCCTTAATGACGAACTTATATGGCCTTTCCTGCTTCAGCTGGTAGGTGTAGAACTCGAGCTTGACGTTCTCAAAAAGGTTTTGAATAGATCTGAACGTTTCAATGTCCTGGGCGTAGAGCTGCGTGAGACCTCCGGCAGAGGTGCGTATTGCCACTTTATTGGGACCATAAAGGTTGTTATTTTTCAAGAGGTCCTGCAGCATCGGAAGATTTGTCAGCCTCGGAATGGTGATGGGTGGAATATTCGACTTTGGGGTCGATTGGGGTTGTTTGACGTTAGCTTGAGATTGAGCAGATGCGTTGAGTTTATCCTGCTGATAGCGGTGATTAGCAGTACACTGCTCAAGGACTTTAGTCAAAGAAACTGAAGAGTTGATGGGCTCAGTCGACAATGTCGATATTGCATCTTCATCTTCGTCATCGGAATCGCTGGTTAGCGCCTCAAATCTGTTCCGGTAAGGATTTTCCTGGATGGGCTTCTGAGAAGTAGATTGGGTGCTTCTCTTGGGATTGCTGCTTGTCGGGCTATCGTGAGGAGAGGACGCAATGCCTTTACGTTTGCGGGGGAGCGGCTTGCGTTGAGATTTGACAAGCGAGAAACTACCTACTGCAAAGCTGGGAGTTTTGTTTTCTGTGTTTCTTGCTAGGCCGCTGGAGCTGTTGCTGGTGTTAATGCTAATTGCATCATTCGATTGCTCGGCATTGTTTTCTATTGCAGCAATTTCGTGCATGATTTGGGATCTGAGTTCGGCAGGTGTTGCACCTCTCAGATTCTTAATTTCATTAATTTTTTGCATTTCACAGATTGTCTAAATGTTATAAGCTGTGTTTCCCAGAGAAAGCGCTTGCCCACAGGGCAAACGCACGGATTTGTTCTCGAGATTCGAAGGGCTTGGATTTCAAGTGCAACACAAACGTACACAACGAGAGCTTGTCGCCAACTCGAATGATTCAATAGGCCTTTCGAATGCATCCATGCAGATGTCTAGTATACAATGTACCAATGTAGACATTGCTAAGAGTTAGGAGGGCGTTACCGACTGCGGAATACTCATGCACATCCCATCAGCAATTTAGTAGCTGAGTTTAGCTCTAAGACTGTAAAAAATTCAGCATTTCCCAATTTGCCACGCCCCTACTGGGCGTAGAAACCTTAATTTTTTGTCAGTTCTTAGAACGAGCTAACGGTACGCTAACTGCAATTGATACCTTAATAATTTAATGCTTACGCTCAAAAAAATGGGAAAATTACGGGGTATTTTTCAATATTCCACGCTCCTAAAGAGGTGTAAAAAATATTTTTGGGTCATCGATAGAGGAGGTGACTAGTAACTCAACTATCCAAATTTGAAGCTTCTAGCTATTATACTTTTGGAGATATAAGCTTTTGCGGTTTGCCACGCCTCCTGTGGGCGGATAGGGAAAGCTTTAACACTATAAATCGGAGATATACACGAGTATGTGTTCCAAAAGTCTGTCTCTAGCTTCAATAGCGCCAAAATAAACTGCGTTCATACGGACAGACGAACGGACGGACAGACAGACGGACATTGCACAAAACCAATGTACTAATTCACTTTCGTGAATGAGTATAAAAAGGTTTCATATTTATCTAAATCGGAAAAAAGAGTTACGCATTTAAAACAAGTAAGAAAGCTCTAGTCGAGACTGCTCGAGTTAGCAGCAACTGCGCAGGGGCTGCTCTGCAGTGTGGGCAATATTATGAGAATTTATTTGTTGAATAATTTCATTTGTGGACATACAATCTTAATGAAACTTTCAGAGAGTAATCATAAGGTGTAAATGAAAATGTGTGTACATTCCAAAGCACAAATTTCTAGTACTTGAAATGAGTTTTTAATAAATTGGGGGCGACGGGGGCGTGGTATCCAAAATCTGTAAATTACAAAATCTTCGTATCGATCAACAGTATATACACAGTAAATCTGAAGTCTCTTGGTCTAAGTGTTCAAATTAGGCTGAAAAAACAAAATCAATTTTTTGATTATTCTCGATAAAAAATTATTTTGCCTCTCTAGCTCTTATAACTTCTGAGATCGACGCGGACGGACGGTCGGACGGTCGGACAGGGCTATATCGACTCAGCTTGTCACGCTGATCAAGAATATATATACTTTATGGGGTCTGCCACGCCTCCTTCTGCCCGTTACATACTTTATCCCAAAACCATACCCTGATTTCCCATTGAAAATGGGTTCAGGGTAAAAAAATTGAGGGTCGAAAGAACTCCCAAGAAGGGAGAGAAAAACACACATAAAAATTTCTTTTATGGCGAATTAAAAAAAGAATAAACTTTTGTTTGTAATTTTTTATAAAAAAAATTA